AAATGATGCTGATGTTTTTCGCTTGCTTGGGGAAGTGAAGTTTGGACTAAAAGATTATCAAGGCAGTGTTGCTGCCTATAAAACTTCAGTAACGGTCAGTCTTCTCACCATATACAAATCACTTACTATTGGTTCCTTTTTTAAATTGTAATCTAATAGGCGCCTACCTAAGTGGGGTGGGAACCTCCCCAAAAGCTAATTAAGAGGATGGAAGAACTAATCCATTTTAGTATCTCATAAAGCATCCCATACTAGTATGTGGGATGCATCCGATATTTCCTCATTCCCATCAACGGACCATCTTTGCAGAGTTGACATCCTGATTATTGTATTTTGCAGCACTTGACTCCCTTACTGATCAAATTTTTTTGCAGTTGGCCCTTTTTGGATTCATTTACCTAACTCTGACATCCATTGATGGATACCCCTTATGTAGTGAGCGACTCTCTCCCAAGAGCTAACTATTGAGTTGGAAGCACCAACCTGCTTAAGCCCCTTATAAAAGAACCTATACTCCCAGACATGTGACGAGGCATCTCATGCTAGCTTGGTCTCAAACGAAAAATTCTTTTCTCTTAATGGTGTGGTTTCCTGTGAATGCAGCCAAAATCTCAAACAAAATCTTTGTGAAATTGGATTTTTTTTTTTTGGGGTAAGAAATTGGATGATTAAAGCATACTGACCATTTTATTTTACTTTTTGGTAATAAATATGTTCTGCACAGTTTTTTTTTTTTTAAATAATGAAATAACTTCTGTTCAGCTGTTAGTTTCTTCTATGGATATCAAATTTATGACACAAATACATTCCATGCTGCTTAAACTGGGATTTAAAGTTTAGGAAAAAGGTATCTATCACTTGTTAGCAGATGACCTTAGTAATGACAACTGATATCATCTGCTAATATTTTGCTATTCCATGACAGGTAGCTAAAGATATTAATTTTGAAGTTCTGCGAGGCCTTACTAATTCATTGCTTGCCGCAAAAAAGCCAGATGAGGTTTGTCATCTTAAAGATTGATTATTAGGATATTTGAAGATCACATGATCTCTTTACGTTGCTGTTTATTTTTTAGGCATCTTAATAATGGAGGATGAAAATAGATCTGGGAAGATAATAGTAGTTGGTCAAAATGTAGGAACATACATATAAGATTTTAAATAAGACTCTTGAGCGTTTTAATTAAGAATAAAGGAGGATTAGAATTTAATGTTTTATTTTGTTTAAATTTTGTTTTACTTTATTTGTTAGGATTTTTTGGCTTAAATATTTTTTAGGTGTTGAGTTCCATGGGGGGCAGTGACACCAAAAAACCATGGTGGAAATTGCCCAAAAAAAAAAACCCTCACTGCTACACTTACTGTAGTCTCAGAGGACAGAGTTGGACCCTTAAATTTGCTCTGATATAATGCAGAGAGATATGAGTACTTCGCTTGATTATGTCATTCTCAGTAAGGCAATTTACATACAATGGAAGCCTCAATCATAATGAATCATTAATACCCTAATCCCTATGATGATGCTATCATTATAATCATACAGAAAGGAGTGCAATATCTACTGAAATAAATGAAAGAATATCCTCTATTCTAACACCCTCCTCAAGTTGGAATATGGTTGTTGATCATGCCCATTAAGAGCTTTTTACATGTTCTGTAGAGATAAAGTTCTCCCTCATCTTCTCATGAACAAAATGACAATCAATCTCAATGTGCTTAGTGCATTCATAAAAGACAGAAGTTATGTGTGGGATAGTTTGGCTATGACGCCATAGCTTTGCTAGTAAAGAAGACTTGTAGCCAAGCTCATTTAATAATTTATATATCCAGACAAGCTTGCATACTTACTGCACAATAGCTCTGTACTCTGATTATGCTCAAGATCCGGACACCACATAATGATAGTATAATCATAGGAATTGGGGTATTAAAGAGCCGTTATTGATGCTCCTATTTTTATGGAAATTGCCTTACTGAGATGAATACTATCAAACAATTTAGACATTTGTCTCTACAATAGGATTATAATATATTGTTTGTGTCTTTAGTATCTTGCATTATAAATGTTCTCCATGTGTTGGCGCATGCGTGCTTGTGCATATGAGATCTTAAATGTTCTCTTTTTTATGCTCAATACAAGGCACTTAGCAATTCTTTTTATTTAGTTAACAACTAAGACTCTTCCGCTTCTAATGGTTATTGATAGCTGATTTTTGTGGGATTGAATGACATACTTGTTGATTTCCCTCCCTTATATCTATTTACACTTCTTCCCATGCACGAATAAGCAATCAGACCATTCCTTCTCTGATTTTCTTCAAGGACATGTACACCACCAATTAAGTTCTCTTTGGAGCACACTGATTAGTAAAACCTCGTGTACTTGGTATTGGATAGGATTTACTTTACATTTATGTCTGTCCTTTATCTTCAAATAAGTGCCCATTTGGTTAAAGTGGGAGTATAGGATGGTAACTTTTTTCTTCTTGATGACAGTGATTTTCAAATACGGGAAGTTTTTTAATTTTAGGTGGAGAAACTTGGTTGCAATTATTGTGCTTGCTTTAAGGTTTTCCAATAGAAACATAGTGTTGGAGAATATCTTTGAAGAGTCAATAGAGTGAGTAAGACTTAAGTAATGCCTGCAATGTATGCTTTCATTGGAAAACCTTATAGCGAAAGCTTTAAAAAATTTACCCTACTCTTGTGCCAAATTTACATTTGAACGGTCACAAGGTGGAAGTTCTATTATGTTATGTTTGCTGCCAGCATAGTTTTATGTTCCATTTTCCTTCTTATTTTGATTAGTGGTTGCATTTGAATATAGTTTTTATTCTTTATAAAGGAAAGCTAACTCCTCACTTGTTGATAATTATTAGTTATGTTAAAGATAGGGAAACAAGAACCCTCCCTTTAGCTAGCTGGGATTTATTGTACGCATAAGTCTCCTTCAAGATGAAGATTGGTTTACAAGACTATACTAGATGAGGATTTGGGTGTTCTTTATGGAACTGCTCAATTTTAGAGGATGCTGATTTGTGGAAGATTTCATTTCCATATTCATTCTTGTACAGGCTGTTCAGTTCCTGCTGGCCTGTCGTGAGCAATTGAATTCCAAAAAAACAGACAATGTAGTTGACAGTAGCCCTACGGAATCGGAGAAGTTGGATCCAGTTCAAGTAAGATGTATTCCTACAAATAATAGCTTTATTTTTATCTTTTGAACCCTTTAGTTCCTATACGATTTTCCTTAATTTCCTTTTTTTTTTTTTTCCTGCCAACCTATATGATTTTCCTTGATGAATTATTCTGCGTGCTTATTCCTTCATTCTGTAATTTATTTTGAAGTATGAATTTGGGAAAGTTATGTCCATCTTTACTCTTATTCGTCAATGTCACATTGTCACTGCAAAGTGCAGATTGAATTACTTCTTGGGAAAGCCTATTCAGATTGGGGCCATGTCAGTGATGCTGTAGCAGTTTATGATCAGCTTATATCTACTCACCCTGATGATTTCCGTGGATACTTAGCTAAGGTTTTAATTTCTCTCCTTTATATGTACAGTCCATGTCATAATTTTTTCCCTTTTCATTTGACACAAAATCAATTAAATATGGTATGAAGAACACAAGTTCAAATGTCGTGAAGCACACTTATTGGAAAGGCTTTAATTTTAACGCTTCTGACCTAACAAAAATTAGTTTTAAGCCCAAAGTTATACCCAAAAAGAAATATGTGGTATGACTATGAAGAGTGTATATTATCGGTAATTATGGCATGAATTTTCATTTTCATTTTTATTTTTTCCCTCTTATGGACTAACTGGTAACCGGATTCTAGTGGCAAGCATGTTGCCATGGTATCTTTGAATCTAGCTTCCTATCATTCAAATAGAATAACCGTTCAGAATATTATCTCTCCCAACTATAGTGCTTTGTCATTATTAGTATTAGCTCCTAGGAGCCTCTACCTCAGTACCACGTATATAAATTAGCAAGATATTTTTGGCCACCTAAAAGAAAGGACAAGGCATTTTCTTCAGTCTCTGCATACTAATCACAGGCGTAAAAGCCATTGCACATCATAATACTCACACATCAATGTGTCCCTCTGCACTGTTCATTTTTGTTAACTGATGCTTTCTTTCCTATTGTCACTCATGGTTTTTGAACTTCCAAGATGTTCTGTGAAAGAAGACACATATTCAAGTCTAATCACCTCGTGGCTCTGCAGGGAATTATCCTGAAAGAGAACAACAGCTTGGGAGATGCTGAGAGAATGTTTATTCAAGTAAGCATATGAATTCACTCTTGTGCATCCGAGTAAAAGATGTGAAAGAATGTTGAATACACACAACCCAACCTCTGCTTTTTATTATGGATGAATAATTTGCTGCACAACCTTATCACAAGAATGTATGCCAGTGTGACTCTATGCTAGTGCTTTGGATGTTTAGGGGATGTTGTTATTTAGTTATCCTGTCGTTGTTGTTGTTGTTGATTTTCTTACCTCCTTAAAACTTCACATTTTGGCCAGCCAAATGGACATATTACTCATTTCAAGTATTGGGTTTTGTGCAGGCTAGGTTCTTTGCACCAGAAAATGCTAAACCACTTGTAGATCGTTACTCAAGACGATAATCCAATGAGTTGCTTGAACTGCCTGCATATTGATGAAGTCATACAGCCTCTAGAATTAAGGCTTTATCTGAGGTAACACGGGGCTTTCTATTTTCCACTTCTAGGCTGTAAACACCGTGCCGCTGTGTGTGTGTGTGTGTGTGTGTCTATGTAATTATTCTCTGGATGGATCCCACAATTATTAAAATCTCAGGATATTTAATTAGTTCATAGCATGATACTGAAGCAAGATTGGATTTGGAATACATTTTAAATGAATCATCAATCATGGGAGGGATCCCGATGTTTGGAATCATGGGTAGCACAATCATGCCTACGCAAGGCATTGCAATAACAGCTAATGAATATAATTGCAATTGCTGCTAGTATTTGAAGCAAAAGAGAAGGTAACTAAGCTTTATTCTACATCCAAAATCGAAGCTTTCCTTTTCTAATGCACAACCTATCACAAACCAAAAAGAAATTATCGAAGGGTTACAAGAGACCTCGAAGCCACCAAAAAAAAAAGACACGTTTCATCTACACATTTGAGCTTGATGAGGGGATGTGGTAGCATCACAATCCGAAATATAACAAGTAATCATCTTGTCCTTATCTTGGGGCAAAAGTGCTTCTTTTTTCCCTTGCACAACCTTCAATACTTCCTCAAACATTGATACTTGGCAAGGAATCTTGAGCACTCCCTCTTGTTGGAAACCAAACTCCTCTTCTGCCTCTCTCAGCAACATCTCAAAAGCTTGGTGTCTCAAATACTCTGTTGGGATGATGAATCTCTTGAGCTCTTTTCCCACAGAAACAGCAAGAAACCCTTTTGGGACAGTCTCATTTGAAGCAGAAATATCTGTGAAGGACAGAGTTCTCTTCAAGAACTTTATGCCTTTGCTTCCACCGTTACTACTACTGCTACTGTTATTGCTTGCAGAAGAAGAAGACGAAGGAGATGAAGAAGTAGCAACAGAAAAGGAGTTGTTCTTGGAAGCATTGGCCACCTTCTTCCATTTCTTGAGGATTTGTTGAAGCCTAACGATATCTGTGATCTTGTTAGACTTCTTGGAATCCATCAAGAAAACTTCTCTTGTTGGTTTCTCAACTTGGTAATGCTGTGGTTAGGGACGATTATTTATAGGAAGGTGCTTCGCTTGATTAGCGCACTTTTATTGCTGACTTCCCTATATATTATTATCATTACTATTATTTATGGACTGATCAATCATCAGTCAGTTTCAACTATCGAGAATTGAGATCCGTGGACATATTTGAGATGTGTATTATAATTACGTACACAATTTTCTGAGCAATTCAAATTAGGTTTTGAAAATATATATTATATTATTTTGTAATTTAATTTAATTTTTACTTATATGTTAAACGAAAAAAATAAAAAAAAATAATGTCATATTTTCAATAATAACTTTTAAAAATGATTGTTTAAATTCAAAATAAAAATATAAAAAATAATATATAAGTCTTATTTAAATTACTTAGATGCCCCACACCAATCCACACAAAGCACACAAATAAATGTGTGTGTATTAAGTGTGCACTAAATTCGGATCGCAACTTATGTCATGTGGAAGGTTACTGCAAAGGCCTCTAATAAAATATTAAAACATTTGACCAACGGGGGTTGGTCTAAGTGGTAAGCGGCTTGGTACCGCTTAAGCGAGGTCTCGAGTTCGAGCCTCAGTGTATGCAGAAATCCCCGTTGGGAGACTCACCCACCACAGCCAGGTGAGCGACACGGGTCGGATCCAGATGTAGTCGGAACAAAGTTCCGATGAACTGGGTGGGCAACCCAAAAAAAAAAACACTTGCTTAATCCCCAACCAACTCTAAATGTGTGAAATTTTTTTATATTAATGAAATTGACTTTTTAGCAACAAAAAAAAGGCCTATAAATGCGTGCATAGATGTATGTATATATAAATACATCATCCGTTATAAAAAGTATATACTGTAATAATATAATCACATTGCAAATTAGCTAGTTCTTGTCCAACCAACTCAGTTTAACCAAAAATTTCAAATTTGAATACCAATACAGAGCAGGTACCAACAGGATGAGATTATAAGTGGGATTGAATTTATGATCTTTTAATTTGACGGATGCATCAATGTCACAAGTTAGAAGGCTTTTGACAGATAATCTAATTCCAAATATATACATCTATATATAGATAAAATCACATTGTACGTAATAAAGCCACATTTATAGCATCTGTGATAGAATTTGGAGTTCAAACAAATTTATTACTGTTAAGGAAAAAGTCTTGTGTACTTGCTTGCCTTTATTGTACGTAATAAGCCACATTCAGTAACACAGATCCACAGTCAACAGCTATATGGATTTATAGCATCTGCACGTCGCTCTTAGCTTTGTCCCTAATCATTGAATTATTAATGTTTGGTTTGTTTATTGGATCCTCCCCAAGTGCTTTCAAGATCAAGCAAGATTGGCTCTCCTATCATCTGATTCCCATGTGGACTGCCCATTCACTTGGCATATAATATTAGTTAGTGAGCCACCATGCTGTCTTCACCTTGCTATATATCCATCCTCCTTCACATACACAACATTGATATTTGAAGCCTTCTTTTTTGGCTGAAGGTGGTTCATTGTTGATCCATATATATCTGTTCAGACTTGAGAAAGTGCATTGTTTCAAGAAAAAATTAGTATGCAAGTTTCCATAATTTTATCTTATTTTTAATTAAGTTCTTATAAATATTTTTCTTCTTCTTATTGGCTTGTTATAGCTTAAGGATTAATACCATTAATAGTCCTTACAATTTGTTCAAATTTTGGTTTTGGTTTTTATAATTTCAAATCATGGTTTTTAGTTCCTATAATTTCATGAGAATTTGATCTGAGTCTAACATAACACCGTTAATTATAATAACCAAAACCAAATCCCGTAAAATGTACAGGGATCAAAATCAAAATTTTTTAGAAGTACGGGACCAAACAAGTTTTGATTTTGCCTTATGCTTTTAATGAGTTGTGATTTTGGTTGTTATACTTAACCATGTTAAGACCATGCCCTTATCAAACTATAGGGACTAAAAACGGTAATTTGAAAATACAGGGATCAAAACCAAAATTTAATCAAACTATAAGAGCCCACAATGGTATTAACCCTTTCTATATTGATCCCCATACTCATAATTTATTAACTTACAAGAGAAATGATGTTAATGGCTGATGATATGGCCTTTGCTTAATATATCTGGATTAATTTTGTCACATAAATATAAATAGAAGAGAAAAGACAATTATATGCATAATAATTTATTTTTATATTGATAGTAAATAAATTTTATTTTATCATTTTATTTACAGGAAAAACCTCTTTTTTTATTTTATATTTTGTGGCAACTTACTTATCTGACATAAAACTAGGCACGGCTTATATAAAATTCAAGTTTACCTTAGTCAAAAATAAGAAGGTATACCGGTCTCAGATTCCTATGCTTGAATAAGCAAAAAGGGGAGAACTAGTCCAATAATTATTTCTAAGAAGAAACTACTATTTATTTAGTTAACTAGTGATTAATTAATTCAATTATTAGGCAAGTACTCTATTTGACTATTCTAATGTTATTGGATTCTATCGTAAGTCAGATCATCATGAGGGGCTTATTTTCTAATACTTCACAAATTCCCAAGGTAAATGAACGAAACTTAGCTTTTGCAGCACTCCCTTCTAACTTGCTCCTTACTTCTTCATTTGTTATTGCAAATTGTTTATATGCCACTCAAGCAATCTAACAGGGTTACCAATCCTAGATTTTGGAATATATATATATATATATGAACTTTAAAATAAATTGGGAGTTGAGTCCAGTTAAAAGAAGTATAATCCCTCATAATACGACAAATCAAGGTTTGAATCGAATTTCTATTAGAAGTACTCATATTAAGTGTCTAACAACAAGCCTCCAATAAAAAAAAATACCCATGTGCTTCGTAAAAAAAGTAAGTTGAGTTATTTATGCTTCAAGAATGATGTAACCTTTGATATATGATATATGTATTCACATTAATCATTTTAACGCCCATATATTTCTTTTAAAAAAATCATGTTGCTCATTTCATTAAAATATAAAAGTTATAATAAGTTATATTATGACTAGTTATAAATGATGCAACTTATATTTTTAAATAGAACCGACAATTTCTATTTGTTTTTTAGTCTATAGTCATTTGACTCTCACATTTGATCCTATCGCATATTGTACTTTAACTTGATGTTATTAATCAATGCATAAAAACAATTTTATTCTTTAATATAAAGTGAGAGAGATCGAATCTAATTAACAAAATAAGAAAATCTATCATAAACAAAACTCATCTGGATGGTCCCATCACACAAGAAGTGCACATGATCTATAGTTGTAATTAGAAAGGAAGGATAATGTACTTCATATTGAAAGTCAAACTCAATGTGGAACAAATAATCAAAAGGCAAAGATGAGCGGGATTCTTTTATTTAGATTAATTTAGTACAATTTATTTATCCCTATCTTTAATTCTAGGATTATTTAAAATTTTATTATTTTAAATAATTATATTTAAGGTTTTAGCATCATAATTATAATTTCCAATACAAATAATTAAGAAGTATGTAAAAAAACTAGTATATATTTATTACAAATAACTAAATTAACTATTTTTTAATTTTTGTAAATTAATTATGCAATAATTAATCCACGGCTCCTTATAGTTTCAACCAATTTTGAATCAGGTCCTTATAGTTTTTTTTCTTTTTATCAGGTCCTTAAACTTTCACCTATTTTTAATTAGGTCCTTGCATTTATTTTTCTTTTTATCAAGTCCTTATAAGTTCACCTTAGTTTTAATTAAATCCCTGAATTTTTTATTTTTTATTTTATAAATTCTAATAGTACTATTCTATAAACATAAAATAGTATATATTATTTAATATTAGTTTATAAACAATAATATTCTAAAGATATTGAAACTATAAAGACTTGCAGATTAATTAACCCATTAATTATCTATCTTCTACGTTTCAGATGAGGGAACATTAATTTATCTATTATGCATACACTCTGCCTTCACATTCTTCCTTTGTTACTCTTGAATGGAAGCAAATCTTTATGGACCCCCTCCCTCTTATATCAATCCCCACAAATTATTTATTTTTGGCATTTAGAAATAAGCAAGCTTAATCATTATGAGCCATTATTACGTGACGGTCCCACATGTGTATTGAGAGAGATTGACTTTCAGAAATAGGAAATTTGGTTGGTAGGAGAGCAACAGTGTATAAAATAAAAATATACAAGCAAATACTTGTCGAAATATAAAATATTAATATATATAATTAATCATGTAAGTATTAATTATAATCTATCTGCATTTTAATTATTGTGTTCACATTTCCAAAGTATCAAATATCAAATGCCATGCATGTATTATTTACCTGGGAAAGATAATCACATGTGCAAACATTAATGAGTATCATGTGCAGGTCACGTGATACTCACTGTGCTCTGGTGATCAACTTGACATGTAATATATTCGGTTGCTGCTGCGTACAGATAACTGAAGCATCCATGCTTTGTTTTATGTATATTATTACTGCATTATTATGAAGAATATAATGAGCAGTACAAAGGAGCAATTTATGGTTGTTGCGAAGATGAAGAGTAAGAGAGGGAAAAGTGAGTTGGGCAAACACACACTATACAGAAGGGGGATAAGTGTCTAAATGTCAAATAACAAAACTACATCTATTCAAATGAAAATAGAATTATCCATAGTTTACTTAATGTAAAATGGATATTATGGGACAATGACCTTGTAATTTTTGGTAACATGAAAACTCTCTTAAAAGTAAGAGGTCACGAGTTTGGTCACGCTTGTAATCTCAAGTTGTTAGTGCCTGTTCTTTTAATTTTTTTAAAAAAGTAATCTTGTGGAGGTGTATTCTTTACTATCTAGTTCAATATTAGGGGAATTTGTAAGGTTTATTGATGTGACTTGTTCATATTGGAGTGTGCTTTTATTTCAAAAGTATCTTCAGGAAATCTGAGCACTTCAAAAAAATTGTGAAGCAATGTAGCACATAATCTTTTTAAAATGTTATAGTGTGGCCTCCTCTGTCGCAGTCAACGTTAGGCAAAAACAACCCACTGAAATTGTTGGCTGACTTGATATTGACAGTTAAGAAATGCCAACAT